ATTCCTTAGATGTTTGCATATCGTTTCATGAGAGACATGGAATTTCAGGGTCATTTCACGAGTGCATTGCTTTGGGTTAGACTCAACAAGCGTCTTCAGAGCATCAATATCAATATCAACGTGTCAGCCCCTGCCATCACAGTTTTTAAGACTAAAGTAACTTGAACGAAATTACTATACCTTCGTTGACACTTACAAATATTCAAAATATTTCCATAAACTTCTCTGATATTCTTTGTGGCTATAGAGGCGTTGTTTCCCTTCTTGTATTCAAACAGCATTACACGCCGAATGCGTGTCTCGTAGCGTGCCATCACTATAAGGGATTAGAGTATACTAAACTTTGTACATTACATAGGCTACACTAACGTGACGTTTAGGTGGTTTGTTTAACTATTATACGTTATGTACGATTTTTTTTGGGGGGGGGGTTAATGAAAGTGTTCCAAAATTGGACACTAATGTCTTGACGACCCCATATATATATAGTTCCAGGTCCTGGCCAAGAACATATTTACTATGTTTGGTAAGTTAATACCAGTCAAGAAGGGTAAAGACTAGGAAGCCACACCCTGTTCCACCCAGTAAGCAATAGATTTTAGTCCTACAATACTTACTAACAATCGTTTAAAAATGTTCTAAAAACAAATGATAACCTGCCAGTCTCAGTGGATAATTTAACGTCTGTCCACAGCGAGAAATCGAACACTGGACTTTAGCATTGTAACATTAAAGGACAACAAGGGATCCTTTGGTTCGTGTAGGATATCCTATCCACTAAATCAAACTATCCCCCCCCACAAAAAACAAAACAAAAACACCCTAAAACTAGCCCTTATTCAAACATCTACGAAGTTTTCCTTAAATTAATTGCATCTACCACGTCTGAAAGCAACTCGTTTCAAATAACAACCACCTTTTAAACAAATTAATTTCTATTGGTTGAAGACGACTACTACTCTGCCACAGTATATATTGGTTTCCCCTCGTCTTGTCATTCTCGCCGTTGAATATAAACACCGGGGTACAGATAACTTAACTTATTTTACAGCATAAAGATAAGTTCCTGTGTATAAATATTACAATAACGGATAAAATGCACTACAAATAATTTATCGTGGGTAAAAAAAAAGTCCTTACCAAACAAGCCATTAAAAGATGAACATGTCTGATAGTTGTTCTTCATGCCAATTACGTAGACGGTGAACTGCTGAATCAAATCTGTTAAAACAACATACATCTAAAACTATGTATTCGTCATAATAAAATACATTGGCATCTATAATCTATTTCTCATCTAAACATTTGTAAAGGTATCCTTTCGTGCGTTTGTTATAAAATTTAAATAATACTTACATTAATAATACAGTTCTATATGCTTGGTCGTTTGTCTAGAAATATGTTATTTTCGCTTACGTCATAAAAAATTTAAGCAATTACGACACAAAACTATATTCGTATATATATATAACCATACAACTAAAAAGTAAATTCTAGTTCACCTAATAGATGGCGCAGCGCGCAGACAGAATCTGTATGTTTTAAGTCAACCAAATAGGTTTATGGAAAAAGGTGGTTGAAACGTTAACATTCTTATAAACAAAACTCAATCGATTCTTTAATTCGTTTATTTCTTTCTGCTGCTCGTGAGCATCTTTGTTATAATCTAACTTGTTTTCTGGGGTTTATTTTATACCTATTTTTGTTTCTTTTAGATATTTTAAACTTGGATTGTTTTATAAGCTTCTCTGATTAAATTGACCTAAATTTTATCTACAATTCCATCTCATCTGTACAAATGCTCCTTTGAAAAAAGAAAAACATCTATTTCAAGAACCACGTGCATAAAATAAGAAATTATTAATAAGTATTATTAAAACAACCACTTACAAGAAACGAACAATTACTACAACAACCAAATGCAGTAAATTAGAAAAACTAAGATACATTATTACAACAACCAAATGCAGTAAATTAGAAAAACTAAGATACATTATTACAACAACCAA